GAAGTCCACTCATGATCAAGGATTCTGAGGCTCCTGACGAAGAGGAGTGGGACAGACCCAGAGATTCGGCATCTTCCTCCTCTGCACCTCCTACCAAGGAGAGATTTGTAGGAGTACGCAGGACAGCCATGAGTCTTAACCAAAGGATACGGCTGATGACACGACCAGATAATCCTCTCTGCGATCTTTGCAACCAGCCTACAGGCTATTTTTGCTATTCCTGTGGTACGATTGTATGTGCAGACTGTCGACTTACCCCACAGGGTAAACAACAGATGTGCGAGTGCATCTTGCCAATCGATTGCCTCGAGACCTCTAAAGTGTCAGCAGGAATGATCTCAGAAGAGCGTCAGGTTTTATACGAGGCCATCCTCACACATGAGGACGTAGATTTGGCAGTCCAGAAAATCAACATGTATTGCGACCACGCAAGGAATTCGTTCATGAGAGCCCATCCAGGCGTTGATCCATGTAGCTTTGATGATATTAGGAATAATCCTCCTAATACTTACACCAGCTCCACAGAGGCTCCAACCCTGGAGGAATACAAGAGCATCAACAAGGGTCACATCAATATCAAGGACTCCAGAACAAGCCACCCGGCGTCTTTTCTCTCTCTTACTGGCTACGAAGACAAACTGGTGCTCGACGCACATTACGAGATAGTTCGTAATAGGATGGCCGGTGTTAACGAAAAGAGAGAACACATAGAGGGCTCAAACCCAGACAGCGTATCACTAAGCCTAGTGGTATGCAACTGGGGAAATATGGATCGAGCGCCGGTGCCAGCAGGGAATCCCAAAAAGAAACTCAAACCTGAGAAGGGATTCGATTACCACCCTCTTATTGACATGTGCTTCAACAATTCAGCACATATTACCCTCGTACTCGAGGCAGGAGCACTTGCGTCAAAGTATTCGATCGCAACCATGCGACAACATGAATACAGAGGGATGCTAATCCATTCTCCTCCCAAGGAGCCTGAGGCACCCTCAATGTATATTGGAGTCAAGGGTGACCCAACAACAGACATCTCTCTCGTCCACCACTTTTACCGTCACCGAACAATGAAGCCTAAAGCTGGTGGTCCCAAGAAGCAACTGTGGGCATGCCACGGTGCGGTATGCCGCCTCACCTTTGGGTACCACAGTACCATCAAGGAGGCAAAAGAATGGGTCCACCCATATTCCGGCCAGAGGATGACGAGAGATGAGTACATGAAGATTATCGGATATGACCCTCTCAAGGGTAAAAATCCTGACAAGGATGGACCCACTGATGGCTCTTACCTCTCACCAGAGGCGTGTCTGACACTGTCGGACCTCGACCCTTCGCCGGTTCTCTGTGAATGGAACGGCCATGTCGAGGGTGATGAGCCACCAGAGGAAGACTTTGAGTCATACGCAGAGATCTTCTCACAAGAAGCATCAAACGATCTTGACGAGATGTGGTGTACAAAAGGGCCTTACAAGGTCATCACCATCGCGATCGTCCATTTCAACTCATACATGACTCATAAGGAAGAACAGAGGCGCGAACTGGTGAACGCGTTCCTCAACGAGGTTCTCCCTTTCAAACCGGATGTAATTGCGGGGGATCTCAATAATATTGCGTCGAGGCTCACCTTAAAAGGTGGAGACGTTCACCCGCGAAACGGTTTGTTTTCTCTATACCTGGAGAAGAAACTTGCAGCATTCAACAGAATAGCAGGAAGGCACTCACAAGTGCGACACCTCTGCTTGAACAACTCTGACCAGCACAGACTGGCACGTGCAGATCGTCTACCGCCGGACCCGGCGAAGAAAGTTGCTGACCTCGACTGTATCAACAGTTATATCCTTGACTGGAGTAAAACGCCGCACACGGCGTCACCTAGTCCAAGAGATGCTACACCTGCCGCCGAAAGAACATACTGGGAACGAGTCTCAGATATGTGGCAGGACATGAACAGAAACAGGGATATCGATATCCGTCTGTTTGTCTCAGTCAAGCAGTACTATTCAACTTTTTCTAACCTTGACCTGTGGTTGAGTCCCTCTGACAAAGATTGGCACAGCCCTTTGGGCTTCACGATACAACCAATCCTTACAAAAGGGAAACACAACCGGTCAGATGCCCAGGTTCAGAAGATCGCTGACAAGCGACAGGCTTACAAGCAGCGTAATGCTGAATACTGGGATTACAAAGACTCATTTATGTATTCATCTGGCAACAGCTGGTACGACAGACAGCAACCACAAGGTAGCTATCACAGATATGGAAGATTCTGGGAAAGGCCACAGCCTGAACGTCCCAGCGAGCCTGAAGGCTCTCCTCCAAGAAGGAGCCAGGCATCATCGTCCTCTTCACAACAAGATCTACCAAGATCGAGATCCAGACCTCAGAGAGCCAGTCTTGTTGACAAGCTCAACATGTCTTTAGAGGAACTGGACACACTTGAGGAACAACAAGAGGAAGAACATTTGATCCGTGAGATGGAGAGTGTTATTGAAGAGCACGAACGAGAAACATCAAACCTGATGTCGGCTCAAAGAGATGAAGACGAACAGGAGGAAGAATCTTCCAGTCGCAGAAGAAGAAGGAAGTCATCGCGACCGCCGTCTGCTCCGAGCAGCAAGGCACTCCGAACAGCTGCCACAGCAGCAGGGTTGTCGAACTGGTTCGGACACCCTAATCAAGGCGGTGCAAAGGGAGAGTCTATCAAGACTGATGAACCTTCACTTCCAAACTCACTAACCAGTGAGCAAGACTTCTCCGTCTTCAGCATCGCGTGGAATGTGTTTCTGCTGCTAATGGGCCTACACTGGATGTGGAAGCAGCTCACCAGGGCTCCCATCAGATGTATGGACCGCCAACAATCAAATGCAAAAGCAGCAGCGAAACGACCACCACCATTTCTCGAACCCGAGAATGAACCACAGACGCGTGAACCTTTAGGACCCAACAGGGTCAATTCTGGAGAAACAACGGATTTGCGACCTGTGTGGCACACTTCCCGAAGCGAAGTCTACCATCTTTCAGACAGCTGTTACCAGCTCAAGCAAGCAAAAGATGTTTCAAGGAAGGTGCTGTGTAAAACCTGCCTCCAGGCAGTACAAGTTGCGGAGATTCGCAGGAACGATCCTTTTCAAAGAGGTGATACACGATCACGTGGCACCGAAAGGGACATTGAACGGTTTCAAACCTATGACGATGCAAGTACTACTCCTCATATGAGGCAATTATTCAGTGATGCATTGCATTCACAAATGGCCGAAGAAGCCATGCAGATTACCTATACATCAATCCCTAAGGGATCCTCGGCAAGAGCCAGAGGTACATCTGCACTCGCAAGTGCCTCATCGTCGTCAGTGCCCAAGGCAATGCCACCAGTGCCTAACAAGGCAAACATGTCACCTCCACCTAAGACTCCTCCGCCAAAGGCGAAAGGAACAGTACCTTCAGATCCTCCGAGACCAAAAGGTCCTACCAGAAGAGGAGGTCAAAATCGGCGCATTCAACGAAAAGCAGCTAGAGAAGCCCATAACAGTGGACTCTGCAACCATGCAGACGCTGCACTTGGCGAAGCCAATCAAGGCCAGGCCATTAACACTATGTGCCGAAACATGGCAGTAAGACACGTCAGCTCTATCGATGCAACGGTAGAAGCAGCCGAGCAGTTTACACAACGCGTGCAACAGCACGTAGAAACATATGATGAAGAGGAACCGTGGAGCACGGAGTTTCTACCAGTCGTGGAAGTCCTATTCAGGAACTTGAGCAGCGACGAAACAACTGTCATACATGACAATCATACGGTAACTATGCCTATTGAGAAATATCTCGACCTCCTCAGAATCGCACAATCATTGCGAAACTCTATCCAGAGAGACAAGGAGGAAAGAAAGGATCATCTTGACACCATCCAAGATACTCTATCCAGAGTGGAAATCCTTCTAACAGCACTGAAGGACTCAAAAACAGTCTTCAATCAATTGGTCCATTCCTCACTAGAGATAGAGCGAAGACATAAAAACCTCAAAAATGTCCTTGAGACACTTTTTGACGACCAAAGCTCTGAGGAAGACCAGTCAGAATCTGACCATGAAGAAGTCCTAACTCCTTCTGCAGCACAGTACTGGAACAGCCTTCATGCCCACGCCTTATCTCCCTCAGGAGATGAAAGTGAAAGATCATGGGCGTCCTCAGACGGACAGCTTGAAAGAAGAAGGGCCGAACGGGCAAAGGCTAAGCAGCCACAACCGGCTAAAGCCGAGGCAACTCCAATCAGCTCACAAGCTGCACCAAAGGCCGAGCCAAAGGCGACTACATCCAACCATGGATATGACACTGCAGACGCCGCCTTCACCAGGGCTGAGAACAGATTACTCGGAATCTTTTCAAGTTCCGAAGAAGATCACTCAGACCCGGATGAACCACATCCGAACGTCTATGCTCGAGCCTATGATCCAAACCTGGATCCAAATCTGAGATAAGGAAAATCTCAGAGTTTCACAACAGTGACTCACAAGGCTCTAACAAGAGCACAGTGAAGGGCTGCATAATTCGATAGAAGAACATTACCAGACCTGATCCTGTACAGACGATCTCTCTGACCAATGTGCATGAAAGAGTTCAAAAGGAGTGATTTCAAGAGTGACTTCAACAGTGTACTTCAGTGCTATACCTAGCATAAACAATATGCTGTTTTTATCATGAGTCCAAACTCCGCAACTGTGACAGTGGGCATAATAGTATATGTGTGAATGTGCGGCCATGCTTCCGGTAAAAGAAAATTAGTGTCTGTTTGTTTGCGTAAACCTCTAAAGGGGTAGCTCTAACAGGTACCTACAGCAATGGCTGCATGCTCATACATATACATTCCGCTGCCCATTGGCTCACAGTGGTTTTACCATATTGAGACAAGACAAGCTCTCCTTGCGTAGCAAGACAAAACAACTACTGTCCGTGTGCAGGGCGCTGCCCTTTGATCCTTAGGGAATAAACTGGTCATACACCTCCTAACAAGGAGCATTTCCTTGTGGGTGTATCGGCTCACCCCCCCCCCAAAGCTTCTCACCGGCCAAGTGTCGTGCGACAACCAGATCCCCAAAGCAGGAAACCTGCTTCCCGGTCACCTGGCAGTGGCGGCGGGCCACTTCAAGCATCTCGTCGTCCTCAGCGGAGATGTTGCCTTCGCCTCCAAACTCAGCAAGCAAATCCTCGTCCTCGTCTTCTGCAGGATCTCGCTTCCGCTTCTGCTTCTTCGGCCTCTCCTTCCCACTGGGTCCAAAGTCCAAGTCCGCTCCACTCGCGGCTGCGCGTCCAGCACGGTGCTCCACTGCGGGGGCATCTTGCAAAGCACCCAGCGTGCTGTCTTCCGTATCCTCTGCCGCTTCTGTGGCTTCAACCTCAGGCGGCTCTGCATCCTCTGCGAAGGGCGGTGGCGGTGGGGGAGTCTCTTGGACAACCTTCCACCCGGATGCGGGGTCAGCCCGCAAGGTGGCGACAGTCTGCAGGGTGTGCCTGGCTGCGTCCTGGACGCCCGTCGGGCGATGGGTCATCTGCATGTTGCACAGATGGGTGAACCAGTTCTGGCCCTGCTCCATCGTCAGCTGCTCGCGCCTGTCCATGTGCGTTTGCAGGTGCACCGCTTCCATCTTGAAGCTTGTCTTGAGCTTGCGAATGCTATTGTATTCGCTGACGGTCAGACCCTCCAAGGAAATCACATAGCCCGAGCAGGTCCGGCCGTCCTCCACCTGAACGCTGGAGGTCTTCATTTTGAGTGCCTTGGCGGAGGCCTTGGTCAAGCGGAGTACATCTGCATCTCCCAGGAATCCGTACTCAAAGTAGAGCTCTGTTCCTTCGCACACACTCACCGCAGTCGTGGACCCCGAGCCATGCCCCACCGTGGACAAACAACAAAAGCGCACAATCCAACAACCCACCTTGAGCTTTGCTCGTCAGCACGTCTGACTTGGGATGAAACCTGCCGAACTGATCGGCCTGCTCCACCCCACGCAGGTAGATCGCCTTGGCCGAAGAAAGCACCTCCTTCTGCTTCCTATCCGATGCCACCCGCTGCACCACGGCATTCTGCTCCAGGCCCGGCCAAATCATGTCGGCTGTGTCGTTGTCGGAGAGACACAGCAGGCCTCTCGGTCGGCCGTTTTCAGCAGCTGGGAACGGCGTGTCCTCCCAAGGCTGCCAAGTGAGCTCTGAAACAATCACTATCGTCACTATCACTATCACTCTCGGTTGCCGAAAACAAAGTCATGACCTTGCGCAAAATCTCTCCTTGGACGAAGCTCTGCAAACCGCGCAGACCAAGAACGTCTGCCCTGCACGGCCTTCGATCCCCGCCGAGCTCCTGCTTTTGCTCCGCCTGCCATCGGAATACGCATCTGGCTCCCGAAAAAACCAAAGCCTGGCTGGTGCGCTTCGCCGGTGTAGCCACCTGCCAAGAGCAGCAGCCGATTCAGGTCGCATATGCTGATTGTGCACGACACTCGTCCATGGTCACGTGAGTGTTCCAATAATACTAGCACCATGACTCTGATGCTATACACTGACACAAAGGAAACTGTGAAACAATGCCTGCCTGCTCGGGGGGCTTCTTGTCAGCCGACTTCTTCGGAACTCTCTTGGCCATGCTAACAGGGCTAGCGGCTGGCCGCTACCAACACTGAGGAACCTACACAACTGTTGTTGCCTGCCACAAACAACCTTACCCCTTACGCCTTACCACCAGTTACCGGTTATTACCAGCAGCAGGGCAGGGCTTGCTGGCTTGCCAATGTCGAGAAGCGAGCTGCACAGGCTACTTGTGTTGGCAGTCCGTCAAATTTCCACTGCACGCCAACGTCCAGACACTGACGGTACCTTGAAACACAAGCGACACCAGCTCAGCTGATCTTCTGGCTGCAAACTTCTTTGAACGGTTCAGTAGGTACATGGCTCGTCATGACATACATCAGCCCTTCCAGGCTCCACTTCATGCCTTATATTCTGACAGCGTCTGCAGCTGTGAGACAACCAGCCTGTCCTTTCCAGAACGCAGCAGAATCACAGAACTTGGCGACCTCGTCCCTCTATGCATGATACCAACATTAACAGTAACAGAATCATTACCATCACGCTCAAACCGGCCCAACTGCTGCGCGCGGTGCGGTCCTGCTGTTCTGGTCAACAGCAGCTGCTGAGCTGTTGAACGTGCCAGGACGTTGGAAAGTTCAATTAAATTCGTTTAGCTGCTGAGCTACGCCGGGCTGCTTTCACAGGATACAGCATCGGTCACTTGTGCTTGCAAGATGCCTCTGTCTCGGATTCCGAACCCAGGCCATAGCACACCAGCAGGCTCCACACCACGAGCCCCAAACACGGCAAGCCGATGCCCTCGCCTGCGACTTTTCGAACATCGTGCGGGCCGAAAGAATCTGGGATGCGGGTTTGCACATCAAACCCTTGCAGGTACAAGTGCTCCACAGGCTGGAGAAGCCGGTCGTGGGTGGCCATACCAGTAGAGCTGCGAGCTTGTCGTCAAGCACCTGGCCTCTCCATCTAGATTGCTCGAACACTGCCTCTGGTGGGACTGCGAGACACCCAGCAAAAGGCCGGACACGCCCTCTTCGCGTCGATTTCTGTTCACGTCCCTGTAGTCCAAGCCCAGGCTGCAACATCTCTGCATATAGACGCAGTCGATGAGGTCTCTCTTCCTGGCAGAAGCCGGTAGGCCATAGCCGCAGAAGCTTTGCTTGGACCCCCCAACCCTTAGCTTGGCCCTCAGTGCTCTCGACTGCTGCTGCCACTGGCGGTGCGGCTCCTGCGCGAAATGTTCAACATATGACTTGTTCATGATGAACGAGTCGCGTCTCGCGCTTGTGGCGGCGTGGCAACGAGAGGAGCCTGGGAGTTTCTGGAAAGAGCCCTGCAAGCCTGCCTCCCCCTCCCACCCCCCTGCCCGCAGAACTGTTCAAAATCTATGCAAATTCAATTCAAATTCGGCTCAAATTCGGCTCAAATTCGCTTCAAATTCGCTCCAAATTCAGATCAAATTCGGTTCAAATTCAAGACAAATTCCCTAGATTCCCCCCCTCCCCCGCCCCCCCCCCCAGAAGCACCATGTCGTTACGGACACTTGTGGCTCAGTGGTTCCCGCCTCCACCCCTCCCTCCCTGACCCCCTCCTTTTCTTTTTTTCTGGCCCCCCCCTTCCCCCCCCCCTCTTCTTGGCTCCCACCCGCTGTTGGAATGTGGATGCATGTGGGCGGTTTGGTGTTGCTGGAGGGGTGCGAGGGCCTGGCAGGCGCCCCGGCCTGTGTGGGGATGAGTGCTGGGGGCGGGCTCTGCAGGAAGACACAGCAGGAGGCAGCGGCCGGTCCACAGCAGGACGCAAGGGGTCGGGCCACCGACCCAGACGCATCAGGGCCACCGACCCAGAGGCCACGACACAGAGCCATCCACAGCAGGAGGCAGGGGCCGCCACCGACCCAGAGGCATCCACAGCAGGAGGCAGGGGGGGGCCGGGCATTGAATCAGAGGCATCCATAGCAGGAGGGGGGCAGGGGCCGGGCCACCGACCCAGAGGCATCCATAGCAGGCAGGGGCCGGGCCACCGGAGGCGCCGACTTAGAGGCATTCACAGCAGGAGGCAGGGGCGGGGCCACCGACCCAGAGGCATCCACAGCAAGGAGGCAGCCCAGTCCCACCTACACCCACACCCACACACCCCCACACCCCAGCCGGTGGACCTGAAGGATCTTTGGAAATCCTTCAGGGCCCAGCCGGTGGACCTGAAGGATCTTTGGAAGGCAGATGGAAACCGGGGTGTGCAACTTGCATCCTTGTCTTCTGCCTTGGCCAATGGAAACCAGCGACCCCAACTAGCATCCTTGTTGCTGCCTCGGCAGATGGAAACCAGCGTGTACAACTCGCATCCTTGTTTTTGCCTTGGCAAATGGAAACCAGCGCCCCCAACTAGCATCCTTGCTTCTGCCTTGGCAAATGGAAACCAGCGCCCCCAACTAGCATCCTTGTTGCTGCCTCGGCAGATGGAAACCAGCGTGTAGAACTCGCATCCTTGTTTTTTGCCTTAGCCTTGTTAGCAAATGGAAATCAGCGTGTCCAACTCGCATCCCTGTTGTTGCCCTAGCAAATGGAGACCAGCGCCCCCAACTAGCATCCTTGTTGCCGCCTTGGCAGATGGAAACCGCGGTGTCCAACTCGCATCCTTGTTGTTGCCTTTGCAAATGGAAACCAGCGCCCCCAACTAGCATCCTTGTTTCTGCCTTGGCAGATGGAAACCAGCGCCCCCCAACTAGCATCCTTGTTGCAGCCTTGGCAAATGGAAACCAGCACCCCCAACTAGCATCCTTGTTGCTGCCTTGGCAGATGGAAACTTCGGTGTGCAACTTGCATCCTGGTCTTTGCTTGAGCAAATGGAAACCAGCGCCCCCAACTAGCATCCTTGTTTCTGCCTTAGCAAATGGAAACCAGCGCCCCCCAACTAGCTAACTAGCATCCTTGTTGCTGCCTCGGCACTACTACTACTACTACTACTACTACTGCTACGACTACTACTACGACTACTACGACTACTACGACTACTACGACGACTACTACTACTACTACTACGACGACTACTACTACTACTACTACTACTACTAGTACTACTACTACTACTACTACTACTACTACTACTACTACTACTACTACTACTACTACTACTACTACTACTACTCCTACTCCTACTCCTACTCCTACTCCCACTCCGACTCCTACTCCGACTCCTACTGCTACGACTACTACTACTACTACTACTACTACTACTACTACTACTACGACTACTACTACTATTACGACTACTACTCATAGTACTACTCAGTTGTAGTAATTCATTACAAGTACTTCGTACTAGTATCGAATAGAAATAACACTAAATTATTCAACTGACTACGCCTAAACTTGACTACACTCAACGGAATTAACCAAAGCAAATTGAACTTACAAGTGTCCTCTGTCAAACCCACAATCTAGGAATCTAGGAACCTTTCAGCAGCCGCCATACCTTTCACCCCAGCGTTCGGCACCCGAAGCCAGTATCATGAGCGCCAGCCGAGCTACCACCTGACCTCCGACGACCTCACCCCACCCCTCACCACACCACCCCCCCTCCCCCCAACCCCCTCCCACGCCCCCCCCCATGAGATGTAACCTGGACGTGTATCCCCTCGCTAGGCGTACAGGAACACAGGCACTCAGGTGTCTCTTTTGTTACAGGCGCGCAGCTGTAGTACACTGGACTAGAACCTTGAGCAACAGGCATGGATACATGCAAGTGATACGTGAAACAGACAGGCACCTGGATGTGTAACATTCAGTGTTTCAACCAGGCACAAATTTAAAACACGTAGAGCTGCATGGCCGTGGAGTCGGCATTCAACTAGCCTGTTATTGCTCTCGGTCGAATTAGTGGAGTATTGAGCTACATCTGCGACTTGAAGAGAATCTATACATCTCTCACCTGAAGACAGCTTCAATGAAAAGAGCAGAACACGCACGAAAAAGCAAACGGATCTTCAACTGAAAACTTTTGCTTGAAAGTTGCCCACTTGTGTTTCAGTTCCCTCTCCAGGTGGAAAGCATACTGTAACATAAAAGATTGTAGAGCTTAGCTCCACTTGATGCCAGCATGACATCTTGCGACACGGCAAATGTATAAGGGCATTAGAAGTATCTTATCCTGAGATAAGTATCTTCTTTTGAAGAAGAGTTCTTTAGGAAGTACCTTTTCCTGAGAAAAGCATCTCCCTATGAAATGACGAATGCTCAAATGGATACCTTCTTCTGAAAGAAGCATTCCTTGAAACACTCTGCCAGTTCAGTCGATGAACTCTATGTCGCGATCCCAGGTTCTATCACGCCAATGTTCAGTACCATGCCAGCGGTAAATGTCAACCGTGTGGATCGGCGTCACCGGAGCATGGCGGACAGGGTCGTAACCGCGGGGATCAGCAGGGGATCTAGGTAACGAAATCTGTGGATCAGGAGCAACGGCATCATCTTGTTCCAAAGGAACCTCGTCGAGACCATTGTCCATTTCCACATCTGAAGAATCGGAAC